CGACGGGCAGCGGGTCCGGTGCGTCCTCTCGGGCCTCGAGGTGACGGGGAGCGGCGTCCGTGAAGACGCGCGTCGGTTCCGCGGTCACAAAGACGCCGCGCTCTAACAGGCAGATGCGGTGCCCCCGGACCCCTTCCGCCGCGACGCCGTCAGCGTGTCTTTAGACATCCGCGACGCCGAGCCCGTCGCCTTTTGGCTGCACCATCTCATCAGGTGCAACAACCTTCCCCACTTCTCCCCCTCTAACAACGCAGTGACCCGTAGGTCCGGGCGAATTACGCGCGCGCACCCGGCGATCGAGATGATCGCCGTCCTTATCATGTCCTTACTTGATCGCGCGATCAGCGCGTGGCAGCGCGTCGCGCCCGCGTGGTCCGCGCTCTGCTCCGTCGTCTTCTGTTTGGGCACGGGGCGCGCGTACCGCCTCCTGTGCGGGAAGGGCCATCACGGGAACGGCTCCAAGCGAGAGCTGAGCGTGAAGTGCGAGTCCGTCGTCCCGCGCGGCTCCGCGGCGAACGCGGCGAACGAAGTGGTCGTCGAGGTCGCGCACTCGACGTCGGTCGCGCGGGTGTTCCAGCAGGGCTCGCGCGTCAGCGTCGAAGAGAAGGGCGCTGAGAGCCTCCCAGCGCGGATCCTCTCGTACGAGGCGCCCAGCGCCTCTCACGCCCTCGGCCGCCTCGCGCTGGCCGTCGAGTCGGACCGCCACGTCTCCGCCGCGAGCGACGCCGTCGCGCGCGGAGGCGCCGTCGTCAGAAAGGAGCGCGAGCTCAACGCCGAGGACATGAATCTGCCAGCGGCGCGCGGCCAGCGCCCGGTCCCGGCCGTGACCGCGCGCGCGGCCGCGAGCGCGAGCGCGCGCAGACGCCGACCGCCCGTGTAGGTGCCGATCAGGACGATCCAGCGCTGGCACGACAGCAAAGGGGCTTTCACTGCTTCTGGGGTCTATAGCCCGTGCTTGCTCGCGTTCCAGCACATCGCCATGGGCATGCCCACGCCCAGGATCACGTCGCCGCGCTCCGTCAAAATCCCCGTCGCCGTCTTCTTTGACGAACGCGGGCTGTCCCAGGGGACGTACGCGGCCGAGTGCCGCGTCACGGACGTCGACCTCAAGCTCGACGCGCCCACGGTGATGTCCCAGGGCGAGTCCCAGCCCGTCCTCTCCTTCGCGGTCCTCGACGTCGTCGTCGCGCACGGGCGCCTCGCCAAGGACGCCGTCGTCCACGTCTGCCTCGTGATCGACGAGGAGCGCCGTGATCCCGTCGAACTCGTCGTTGCGGAGCCATGGCGTGCGCCCGCCGACGGCGTGGAGGCCGCGGACCTCGTGCTGCGCCTCGACGAGGAGCTCCTCGCGCAGAGCGCGGCGATCTCGTCCGCGAGGGCGACGCGGACGGTCCCGAGCTACGAGCTCCGGGGCATCGACCCGCCCATGCCCGCGCGCGAGGTCCAGCGCCTCTATGCCGCCAGCCCGAACGACTTGTCCATCGCGTGAAGAGCCGCGAGTTCGTGAGCGACGTGTGCGAGTACGTCGTGAGCGACGTGAGCGACAC